TACAATGTACTTTCAAAATAATGTACAGGTATTTTAACACAATCCCTCACAATGCCCTTTCATTCCCTTGTACAGTGATTTTATAACTGGTATGCATTCAACCCCAGGAATTTTGGACATGGACGCGTCCTCACAACTTGCGCCATCTCTCGGCTTCCGGGAACGGGACCGACCGTAACTCAATGGGCGAAACCAGTTTATTTTTAATTGCCCAATACCAACGCAAATAATCAGCTTTCTCTCATTGGAGTTCTATTGGGTTGGAATACTTACATCTGCAGACGAAATTCCAAACTCGTTTGACCATATTAAGTTCAGCCAAGGGCCAATCGAAAATTTTCTCATTGCGCCTATGGGAGCACCCGAAAAAAAGATCATGTTTTCATACAAGAACCCTGTCCTGTTAAGAACTGTCGCTTATACATAATTGCTCTCATCGATAATGTGTACCCAGTGAACTCAACTAAACTATGATGCTTTTTTTTTATTTGATTAATCAATATTACGACGGTCCATGAGCATTTCAGATATTTAAACGAACCGCGGCATCCGTCTTTAAAGGTTTAGAAAAGGCAGAAATGAGCGCATTCTATGTGTAATAGGCGCAATCACAAACTATTCACGTAGTACATAAATAGTATCAACAAACACACAAAACCTGCACACAGGTCTTAAGGTCCGAGGTTTGAACCCGGGTTTAAAATCGATAGGGATTTTATCCATTCAAACCGCGGTTGGACGACAGTACTGTTGAAGTGTAATGAGCATGCCAATGAAAGCAGTTGTTGATTTCATTTAATTACACGTGTGTCACGTAATTAAAAATGGGCCAATTCTTTAATATTGTGAAATTATACGCTCTCCAAGCTCAATTTTTAGACAAGCGCGAATGTTTTTTGCCCAAAGGCTAGAACCCCGACTTGTGTCAAACCCGAGCTAGAGGATAGTTCCGTCCTCTAAATTCAAATACCGCTGAGGGCAATCCTTTAAGTTGCCTAATTACTCGTGTGTCACGTCATTAAAGAGGAGCCAAATCGTTATAATAGCGATATTACGCAATCCAAGCCCGATTTTCGGGTAAACGCGCATGTCTCCTATCCAAAGACTAGAACCCCGACTTGGATCAAACCCGAGTTATAGGATAGTTCCATACCTCTATATTGGCATACCGCTGAGAGCAATCATCTCTATCGCCCAATTACTCGCGTGTCACGTCATTAACAAGGAGCCAAACGGCGGCCCAGGGGTAATCAGGGGTGCATGGCATTTTTTTTTTCTTCAAAAACAGCCCCTTGCACTGGATTGTTGCACCCAAGGGGGCTAAATGTACGGAGAGCACGACTGACGTCAACCCCGTAGCTTCTGCAAGCAATCCTCTCGTAGAGGAGTGTCCTCTCCTTAATGAAAAAAAGAAACAGTGAGTGTGCAAGCGTGCTATAGATAATTGTCACCTGAGATTGGGGTGGGAAAAATTAAGGAACTTTCAAGTCGAATTAGGAACAGACAAAAGAGAATGTCTCAAAACATTGTGACGTTCTCCTCCGTTGTCTTTTTCTTCGACTTGAAAGTTTAATTGTTCCGCACCACAGTCTCAGGTGCTAGATTATGATTAATTTTGCTCTCCTAATATTTTAAACCTCCTGGCTTGCGCTAACCGACCAAAAAGTAGCGAGAGTTGAAAAAGCTGCTGGAAAGCCGCCCCCAGAACAAATGGAGCGATGCGTCGTCTGCTCACCTTTCTGGTGAGGGTAGAATATCCTTCCCAGTATTTCTTCGGAGTTGACAAAGCATCATTTCGTGATACAAATTTAACAAAACTAAATTTGGGGAATGTACTTTGGAGTCGGAAATTGTACTTTCCTCGGAAAGTACCAGAAAAAATACTTTAAGTAAAGTAGAAGCACATAATCAGAGAATGTACTTCAAATAAAGTACAAGTTTCCGAAACCTACTTAAAGTAGTACTTTAAGTACAATGTACTTAAAGTACTTCTCAACACTGGTGTACGTACTCTCCGGCTTGAGATCTCGTCAGACTCCATTTTGAACTTCTAGTGTCATGTACATTTATGCACGGAGGCACAGTGTCTCTCAGCTCATCGAAAAAACGGAGAAGATGCAGGCGAGCTGGTGAACATTCAACATATTCAACACACACACACGCAGGTGTCGACTTTATGTTCCTCGAATAAATATGAATTTTTTTTTTTTTTTTTTAGTTTCCTCGATTTTTTTAGTCGCAGTTGACTGCGCCAGTCGGAGTAGTCTGGAACATAAAAAGAGCTTCGGCTGGTATACTCGATACCAGCGTAAGCAAGCCGCCCTTTCTCCCCTAAAAAAAAAAAAAAAAGTAATTAAACTACGCGTTGCCAAACGTGTGCTCATTATCCGCCTAGTTGTAGCAATAGTGGTTCGAGGTCCGAACCACATGCCAATGATTCAGAACTAACCGTTTCCCCGTTCAAAAGTGAAAGGTTTTTTTTTTTTTTTTTTTGAACATTTCAATGGGAAAATGGCGGTCGACTGTGCCCTCGAATACATGGGCTGAGTACAGACTTGTGCCTATCTCAAATACTCTACTCAAGGCACTGTATTTCAAATACTTTTTGAAGTATCTTGGTATCTTGCAAATACTTTTGATCGAGAGTATTTGATACTCTATTTTAATTACATTTCTGAGTATCTTGTACTCATTATCTATAATATATTTTTGACATTCCGCCATTTTCAGAGTTTTTCGCCATGAAGTGGCGTGGGCGTGGCATGAGCTAGCGTGAACATTGTTTCTAGCAACCAAATTCTGTTGCTAGCTCCGATAAGCTACGGTGACTTAAGGCCCGTTCACACCCTTGCGACCGACTTCGACCGAGAAAGACCAGACCGGTTTTTAAGCCTTTTGCGACTTCTTAGGACCGGATTCGATGCAGCGGAGCTGGTCCTGACTCCTAAAGGGGTGTCCAAACAGGACACTACAAAACGCACGACTCCGACAAATCGTGAAAATTGAGGCGGACGCTTCTATAGGAGCGTCCGCTTCAATTTTCACGATTTGTCGCAGTCGTGCGTTTTGTATATCCTGTTTGGACACCCCTTAAGAAGTCGCAAGAGGCTTAAAAACCGGTCTGGTCTATCTCGGTCTAACTCGGTCGCAAGAGTGTGAAGGGGCCTTTAGATTGAGCTCGCGAAAACATCGCTTTTGCGCCGATTGTGACTCATTTTTCACCCTTAAGTTCGTACAATGAAGGTTTTCCCTTCGCCTTCCCAAAGGGGCCTTTTGTTTCCTAGGGTTTTCTCAAACAAATCCTCAAAAAAAGAGGTGGTTTTACGGAAGTAAAGATTGCCACACTGAGGCGCAACGCAGAACGGGAAACGACCCACGACAACAATGCGGACTTAAGTGTCAAGAAGATAACAAATAGAAGAAAATGAGAAGTGGACACAAAAATAAGACACTTTATTTAATTTTGCTACGGCAAAACGTCTTCTTTTTTTTGTGTGTGCTGTTGCGTGCTAATAAATCATTCTGGTAAATCAGATTTGCGTAACTGTATAATTGTGTTTGTCACTGACGTCGATACAAATTACGCAACGCAGAAGTATCTTCAACAGTAATTGAATTACATTTCTAAGCATTTGTACTCTACTCAAGATGCTTTACAGTGAGGGCCAAGGCATGATAGACACCATCAGAAACAATCAATGAGTCGAATGAACCAACAACAATTAACAAGTAGCTTAGTCCCTGGTGACAGAAAGCAATTCATCAACTGCACTCGCTAATAAAGCGGTAGAAGCAATCGCCGTCACACTTGGTGGCAACTCATTCCCCTCACAAACAGAACGAGGAAAAGAGGAGTAATTAAAAACATATGTTCTACAGCGGAAGTCAAGGAGCAAATTCTCGTGCTTCTGCCTTGTATCACGACTCGCGTTATACTTCAAATAATCATCAAAATTTAAACCAGCTTTATTATGAATTAAGTTATGCAAAAATTGCAAACGCTTTACTTTCCTTCGACATGATAATATATATAGACACTGCGGAAGCGGTTTAAGCGGTGACACGTGTGAATCTTTGCCGTATGAGTTGTAAATAAATCTAAGCGATTTTTTTAAGGCCTTCCAATTGGTCAATGAGCGATTGCGAGTGCGGGTAACATACAACGTCAGCATATTCCGGCAAAGGACGAATCAGCGATTTATAGGCCGTCAGCTTTGTCCCCGGAGTACAGTGACACATTTTCCTACGTAGGGACCACAATTTACTTGACGCTTTTGTGACAGTTTGCTCAATATGACTAGTCCAGCTTAAGTTGGACGTGATAGAAACACCCAGATACTTGTATTCATTAACTACTTCTAAGGCATTTGAATGAATAGAATAAGAAAAAAAAAGAGATAGGCACCTTCTTCAGTGTAACTGACATCTGCACTCGTTTCTTGACATTCAGATCCATTCGCCATTTTTTTTTACACAAGATATATTTAAAAACAGTACAGAATCACCAGCAAAAAAAAAAAAAAAAAGCACTGTATTGAGGGCTTATCAACTCGCAGGTCATTAATAAAAACCAAAAAGAGCAACGGTCCGAGTACCGAGGTGTTTGAGGTGAAGAAAACTCCGTAAATTTGTCCTTTTATCTGACACCCCCCTGCTGAGTCCAACCTAGACTAGGTGGTCTGAGTCGAACACTCCAAGAAATTTGTAACGGATTGATAATCCTGGATAGACTCCGGACGTATTACGGCGGGGAAGGGGGTATATGGGGGTGCCCACGCTGGGCCCATGCCGCCAATATGATGAAACAATGTCTGGAGCGCGAACCCTCGTTCCGCCACTGGCCTCAGGCTCATATGGTCATTCTATCGGTGTCGTGGAGCTCCTCGCGTTTGAAGCCCCCACCCCGACGGAGCGGCAAACATCGCGGAAGACGGCGCGCTGTCGGGACCGCAGCGAGGCCTGGCAGCCCGCCAAGCATCGCGCTCCCCCGCTTCCAGACGCCCGGAAACGCCCTTCGGAAGCCATGTGGCTCAGCTCGGGACGGGGAGTCTGGCGATAGTCTCCCTCTATTGGGCGCACGCCAACCCGGCTGTGGCGGCCCCACCCGCGGACCCGTCAGTGCACAGTGGGACGACGACGATGAAGCGGGTGCTCCTGTTCGTGCTCTTCGGCGCCCTGGCTGCCCTGGCCGCCCGCGACGAGTGCGGGCCGTGCGATCCCGACGCCTGCCGGACCCCCGACTCGTGCCTGGCCGGCCTGGTGAAGGACGCGTGCGGCTGCTGCATGGTCTGCGGCCAGCGCGAGGGACACCGTTGCTACCACCGCTCGGTGGCCGGCAGCTGGGAGCACGGCCCCTGCGGAGAGGACCTGGACTGCAGGCCCCGCGCAGACCTGGCCCCCGGAGACCCCGCCGAGGCCCTGTGCGTCTGCAACAAGGCGTGGCCCATGTGCGGCTCCGACGGCGTCACCTACGACAGCGTCTGCCAGCTCACCGAGGCCCGCTACTCGCGCAGGGACGGGCTCGAGGCCGCTTCCAGGGGACCTTGCATGGCCGGTGAGGTGCACCTCGTCGAGGAACGGGCTTCTGGGGAGAAGCCGCTCCCAAAACGTTTTGTTTCAGTGAAACGCCGAACCATGCATTTCCATATCTAGCGCTGTTCGTGTTTCCAACGCGCTCTCCGCCTGAGCTTTGTGCGGGCACACACACGCGCTCGTCAAGTATAAGTGTTCACTTGCTTCCACTTGTAACAAGCATGTTACAAGCGCGAGCGGGTAGCTTTGACTAAATTATGGGAATCCTGGGAAAGTAGCGCTATTGTCTTCCCTCCCTGCTAGTCGGGTACAAACAGATACTAACATACAGACGTCAAAAACCGCTGCCATGGTAATCGCCATCTTGGTCTAATCTTCGAAGGCTTCGGAAGTGTCGTTCTGAACGAGTCGCGCCAAGATCGCGTCCTCGTACTGAAACTCTTCGGCAGTGTGTACGCAATCAACTTAACAATCATGCTTATTTCCACAGATCTCTTACAATTATATTGTTGTTCTTGCGTACTTAAGGAAAGGAGAATTATGTTTTGGTGCCGCTAAGCACCGGCGACATGTGGTGACGGTGCGAAGATGTGCGTTTGTTTCGCCGGGGTGTAGAAAACAATATCCCTCTATTGGCGACGTGCGCGAAATAAGTGATTGTGTTAGACAATCTGAAGTTAGTCTGCCTCAATCTGCGACTTGTCCTTCAGCTGTAGGTGAGAAATTTTGCCAGTGAAGTACAACCGCAAGCCTGGGGTCTTCAACGTGCATCATGCAGCAGTGATACAAAACCGCACGCAGGTACGATGCTTATTCAGATCGACGTGGGAAGGGGTGTGGATTAGACCCAGGATCCCTTTGGATTCTGCAGCGCGAGCTCTCGCTCCGCCGATTCCCCCTCGACGTGTGCGACAAAAAGGGTCGCTGTGGTTGGCCTTCCTCGACTGGCCAAACGCCCACTATGACCTCTCGAATGTGATTAATTCAAAATAATGACAATAAGAGGAATTTCACACTGTCAACTTGGACGGTATTTAGGACGTGATGCAAGCTTCCGCCCTGTTTTTTTAGACAGACCATTGAAGGTAAGGTCGTAAGGTCACAGATCGGAACTACAAGAGGGAGGTATCCAGTCAAATGTCTTTATGAGGCAGCCACCGGGAATTCGTTTCACCAAGAACGGAGAGATCAGGGACAAACTATAGTCACCCCGGGAAAGTAGCGTTACCATATGGTCGCCATTTTAGTTTATGGAATGAGCAGTTTCTCCTTGGGACCTCTTCAGTCTTGGTTAGCCGATCGAAATTTGTGCTGACATTTCTTGTATACCCAGATTTTGTTAACCACTCACTGGCCAAAGAAGCGCAAATCTTCGCACCGCCACAAACGTGTGGCGCCGGTGCTTGCCGTCATTGAAACGTAATTTTCCTGTCTTGAAATACGCAAGAAAACCCATTGTAAGACATCTGTGTAGATAAGCATGATCGATAAGTTGATTTGATACGCAGTGCCAAAGGCGAACGCTTTCAGTACGACGCTGCTCCATTGGCGACGTGCGCGACCAAAAGCGTCGCTGTGATCGGCCTTCCACGATTGGCCAAACATGACGTCCTGCTATCATCGACGGAAATAAGGGCGAAGTCTCAACTCTGGCGGTTTAGAAACGTGATGACCTCCAGCGCGATTTTTAGGCGCCATCGAAATTGTCGCTCGCTCCTAATAATCTCAATCGTGACGTCAGAAATAGGAACCGTAAGAGGGCGCCGCCGCCAAAACATCCTGTCGCCGTCTGGTTCAGAAGGACGACCTCTTCAGCGTTTTCAAGGTCGCTGCCATACTGTGTCACGCTGAGTGTTCGATCCTGCCAGTATGGAGTGCGTAGCGTGTTGTGAAGCACTACCGGAGGACAAGTGTTTTCTGTTTTCTGTTGATAGCGACTACCACTATCACCTTGGGGCTTGTTCCCGCTGTTTTAAAGACAGTATACAGAACAAAAGGATCAGCTCTTCGCCAACCCTGAAGGTGACGAACGTGTAGCACAGTGATGACGCAAAGACGCCAAGGCGGAAAAGAAAAGAATGAGCAAGAGCTCAATGGCAATGTTTGCCGTAATGAATAAAACATATGACACCCTCCTAAGCCTCAAGGAGACAGCAGTTAGAATTGAGAAATATTGTTATCGGAGGCATCAAAACAATCAACGCCTATTACTTCCTTTGCGTGAGTTTTGCGAGAGAAAAAGAAACACCAATGCTGCAGAGGCAAGAAGTTAGCTCGGCGCGAGCGTGGGTGATATCCTTCATCTCGGAAAACAGCGCGGAAGAAACGACGAGGACGTTCCGTGTGTTTCTTCTACGTCATCATCGTTTTTTTCGCGCTGTTTTTCGTGATGAAGGATATCGCCCACGTTTGCACCGCGCTAACTTCTTGCCTGTGCGTTGGTGGTCTTTTTCTCTCGTAAAACTCACGCGAAGGAAATAATAGAAATAATAGGCAGTCTTAGTTGATTGTTTTCATACCTCCGATAACAATATTATGCATGCGAAGTATCATGGCCAAGTATCACGTATTGCTATCAGAGTAATGGTAATAATGTTCCAAAACTTATTCAAAAGATGACCCTAAAATATTTATAGAAGTTATTTCTGCTGGCGCACATTGTTAGCGAAAAATGCGCTTCATCACTGGTGAACAGTTTCGCGGTTTCGCCGACCGCTTTTTACTAGCAAACGACCCGGAAGTGCAGAGTGGTGCAACGATCGCTAGAGATGATATGTCTCGACCGCAAGGTGTACTTATACTACAAAGAGCAACCGCCAGGGGGCACTGATAGTACCGCGGGCCACGCGAAGCATTGTTTGCACTCATATCGATCGTGATAGTACCTAAGTCAAGTTATTTTCGAAATCGCACATCTCGCCTTGGAGGAGCTGCGTGTTTACTTGTAAATAAATAAAGCAATAAAATCCGAACTTTGGGTAGACTACTGCTATGTCTCTAAGGACTACGAAGTGCCTTATAGGTAAAAAGTACGTACTTGATATAATACCACCCTGGCTATGTCTCATTTTCAAGTTATCTTTAAGAACGGGAGCGTTCCCCCAAAAATGCAGAAGGCAGAAGTAACAGTTCTGTGTAAGAAAGGAGATAAGCATATTCTCAGTAACGATTGACCCCTTTCTATCCTCCCGTTATTCTCAAAAGGCATAGAAAAATAATAGACTGGTTTAGAACAATTTTCCGACAAGCATAACTTGCTCACTTCCGCACAGTTTGGTTTTAGGAAAAATGGACCGACTGATTTAGCTCCTACTAGAAAAAAAAAATATAAAAAAAAAATTTTGAGGAAATTAAGCTGGGTGTATTTATTGATGCCACAAAAGCCTTTGACTTTAATTATCAAGATGGATTACTTCTTAAATTCGACTGTTACGGTGTCCGTGGTTTTTAAGGTCCTATAGGACTTTAAAAAAACTCTCAGAAAAAAAAGGGTGTAAAGGGGTGTAACGTTACACCCTTTGACCCATATAATACATCCCAAGAGTTCAATTCGACGTATACAGCGCCCTACAGTCGAACTGACGGTACTAACTTTCACGAGAGGCTTGATAGCCGTGTGGTACAACTTATTAAAATAGCTAATGCACGCTTTACTGACCACAAAAAAAAAAAAAAAAAAAAAAAAAAATCGGGGTTTTCTTGGCTCTATTGTAAAAACTCGGTGTTTTCTTTATGTGGTCTTTGATACGTACTTTAGCTATTTAAAAAGTTGAACCCCACGGCTATCAAGCCCCTCGTAAAATTTCGGACCGTCAAAGGGTGTAAGAATACACCCTTTTATACCCCTTTTCCTTGAGAGTGTACATGGCAATCGCGATACGTTTCTGTTCGCCAATTTTCTCCCAATATTAAGCAAATTCACTCGGGCGACTCACAGGGTAGCATCCTTTGGCCGTACCTTTTTAATCATAAATTACATTGTTATCATAAGTCCTGCATAAAGCAGGACGACAGCAGCATATTCTTTTCTTCAAATAATTGCGATGATCCTTTTAACAGTGCCAATATTACTTTGACCAAGCTTTCTCACTGGGCGAAGGATAACGAGTTAAAATGCTTACTGATAAAACAAGCACCATAATTTTTCGTGCAAAAAATAAGTGTTTCTCTTTGACCAGAAACATAATACTTGACTCCACCGCAACTGAAGTCGTTAATACTTTTAAAAATCTCGGTGGTATTTTTTTTTTCTAAACGAATGTCGTGGGACAGCCATATCAACCACTTGCAAAACTGTCTAGTGTCATAGGACTGACATACACCAAACGAGAAACACTCCCATTTAATGTGAAACGGTTAATCTATAATTCCATATATCAATCTCATTAAACTACCTCAATCTCGTCTGGGGTAACACCACAATTGCGGACTTCCAAAAAGTATTTTTGTTGCAGAAAAAAAAAGTAAGAATAATATGTAACGTACCTTGTGATACCTACACAGATAGTTTGTTTAATGATCCTAAAATGCTAAATTAGGTAACGCTTTATGAATATATAGATTATGTATGATCTTAAAGTTAAAAAAAACGTAAATATTCTACATTTCTATCAAACCTAGCAGAACTGGCACCTAACATGCACATCTACTTAACTGGAAATGTGGAATATTGAAGGATTAAATGTTGTAGGACGAATTGTGGTACGCAAATGCTACATTATATATAAAATGTTAAATTTCTAAGACAAAATAGTATTTGTATATATTCTATATTTAACAAGGACTTCCGTTGATTTCATTTGCGCTAGGGACTGTTTTTTTTTTTTTTTTTAATGTAACTGCTTCTTTAAAATGTTGTGTTTGATAAGGTACTTTGTTTTTTCTGTTATTTATTTTGCGTGTGTATGCGTGTCTATGAACTCGGTTGTTCGTATTGCAAGCGGGGCTTGGTCCCGATCTCCCGGATGGACAAGGACGACGGAATTACCATCGTAAATTGGGTTCGGATTTTAACGGTAGGGA